GGGAATTCCTTTGACTAAATCAACAAGTAGTGCCTTCTAAGAATTTTCTTTCTCCACATAAAAGCCAATAGCTATTAAGCCCAAATTAAGCCGCATTAAGATTTCCATTTTATCTATGCCTTCTCGAAATCCCTTTCAATTATTTGAACCAAATAATATGTAAAGCGTGTAATGTTTAATTATAACCTTATGCCTGTAATGTCTCAGCTTAGACCCATCAGCCAAGTTATGCATTCAACTGGCTGGGGAACTGCGCTCATGTGGCTCAATCAGCACGGAATTTAATCCCAAATTTATAAGGCACTGTGAAAAATATTACTTAAAAACAGGATAGGTTTCTCGAAAGATTTTATACAGTTTTCTGCAATTAAAAATGTTAGACCCTTATATTACAGAACCTTTACTTTAGTACCTATCTCAATTTAATAAAAATAATAAATAATTTTAAGCCTATAAAATATTGCAGATAATCCAAAAAATTCTTTAAGTTATATTTTACATTATGACAATAAAATCTTTAATATACGGATAAGAATATAAATAAGATTAAATATTTTGAGGAACATTAAGTCTAAGAAAAACACAGCACAGTTTAATTTAAAATGCCAAACTGGTTATATGGTATATTTATATATTAAATGTAAAGTTAAAAAAAAAATAAAATCCTTCTTTTAATAATTTTTTTGGAGCTAGACAAATTGACACTTATATTTTAGGCGACTTAGGCGACTTAGGCTGAGCCTAAAATAGCTTCAATAAACAAAATGTCTTGAATTTCAGATGACTCTGCCTTCTCTTTTGATAGAATCTAGTCTCCCAGAATATCAATTATATTTTGCAGTGCCGAAAGTGCAGAGGAGACAGTGGCAGTTGGAAAATCCAGCCACTGGGATGGCGGCACACTCCATTTAATTTATGGCCCGCAGCAATGCGCCTGTCAAAACATGAGTGTCTGTGTGCGCAGTACTTGAGCTGGGGCGGCAATTTGTATGGCTCAGAACTGGAGAAAAAGCATTGGTACAGCTACACAGCTACATGTGTATCGCTCAGAAGCGGCATCCAGCTAGACTAAGCCAGTAGCAGTACCAGTACCAGTACCCCCGGCTCATTACAGCCGTCCTCATCACCATCGCCATCATCATCATCATCCAACTACTGCTCCTCATCAGGGCAGGCGTCTCTGTCAAATTGCTTAAATTCGGGGATGGATTTCTGGGAAGGGGGTTGCGAAGTTCGGCTTCATAAGTTGGGCGGCAGCAACTTTTCGCGGGCTGTTAAATTGAAGCATAATTCCGCCTGCAGTTGCAGCTGCCATGAAATATGGCCAAAGCCAACGCATGTGGCAAGCATATGAAATTCGCAACAGCGCTCCAGACAAACGAAGAAGCCAAGCAAAAATGTTGTATTTATGCAAAAAGCGGAATGAGAAATATATATTTTTTTGTGCCCAGCCTTGACGTGCAACTGCGCCAAGACTGCCGTTCTGAGTTGTAAAATGAAAACGGACGGAATACACAGTACAAAAACAGGAAAAAAAAAGAAAAAATGGGGAAAAAAAATATATAAATAAAGGCAGCCCCGGAGAAGAAAAAGACAAATTGCAATACATCAAATGAGTCGTGGAAGTTGGGCGAAAAGGGGCCTTAGTCGGGGTATGACAACTGCGACGGCTGCAGCCCTGACTTTATGATAAGAAACCAGAAAACAGACGAGCTCCACTCCGAGTGGCACGGAAAGAAGGGGCATGAATGCAGTGCAGCATTCCCAGATAGATGATGCATTCAAACAAAGTGCCGCTTGCCGCTTGGCAAATTTATGCTTAAAATCGCTGATGCATCACAGTTTCTGTTTAAAGGATTCGCAGGGAGAATGGAAGGCGGTAGGGATCCGAAGGACTACTCACATTTCACCCGCAGTGGCAGCTGATTGCTGACCGTCTCGCCCTCGTCGTTGATGGCACTGCACGCATAGTTCCCGGCATAGTGCTTCGTAATCTTCTGGAGTACCAGGCTCTGGTTCGAACGGATGACCCGGGCGGACGTGTTGTGCTCCAGATGGATTCCCTGGAATTTATGATAGGACATGTGTAATATTGTACCACAAATTAATTACAAGCGGGCGTGTTTGCTGGTTAAAGTGTCATAAAATATTTAAGGTTTATAAACGGTACGCTAAACGGGTTTTATCTGGTAACTGTGGCTTGAGAATAACTTAAGAAGACCCAATAATATTTAACTATGTAATCGATTCCACAATTAGTGTAATTGCACTATTTAAGTCAATTTGAAAAGGCTGTTGAAACAATAAGCTGAATAACTCAATCTATGATGCATTTAACAGAATTTAACCGATTGAAACTTCCAAGAGTCTATTGTTTTGAATTTCGGAATCTGTAAATCTATACGTGAAAGTGAACTAATGCAGCTGCCCAACTATAATCCGTTCTAAAACCACTCGGGTTCGAATTTCAATTTGCCAAAATCCGCTAAGCGCATCCGAAAGGCAAAAATTCCCCAACACACTCCTGCCAACATGGTATCCCAGTGGAGAGGAAGTGGGGTTTGGATGCGGGTGGGATGTGGGGTGTAAGCATAGGATGTGGATTGTGGGTTGGGAACTTGGCCTGAGTGATTGCCAAGCGACTGCGGATTGCAGTTGAGCGACGGCGAAATCAATGCCGCAAATCCCAAAACTATTTTACCCAAAATGGCACCGCCACCCAGTCCCCACTCCTTGGCAAAGAGACCACGAGAATCGAAATGAGCAAATGCAGATCCATGCATCAGGACATCGTCGGCGGTGGCGACTAGCGGAGGAGCAGCCACCTCAACGCATACGCAACCTGCCATGTTATTGACACTTAACCAGGACCCAATGCAAGGAGCCGGGGAGCCGGAGAGCCAGCCAAGCAGATGCCTTTCGGGGACGGGATGCCATTCAGTGGTTTGGGCCGGATCCGCATCTGCCTGCCTGGCCCACTCCTGGCCGAACTGGAAATCGAACTGCGACCTACATTATGCAACCACAACAGTTTCCGCCATTGAGGATTCGATTGTACGTGACACTCGAAGTAAACATCGTCGCCTTCCTTGATATCATCCGGTGTCAAAGTTGAGCCCAGGCGTAACGTCACCAGGGGAGGATCTGCAAGGAAGAACGGAAGAGCAAGTTAATTAGTCTTTCATCGAGGTAAGGGTAAAATTGGTAGCTTAAGCTACCATGCTTAAATATTCAATTGAAATTTTTAGTTAAACTATTTATTGAATTTCTTTAAAAAAAGGGCAGGGAAATTATTCAGGATTTTTTAATTGTTTTTTCATAAAGTTGAATTATTTTTCAAGGCCGACTAGAATATTTTTGTTTTTTTGACATCTCTTGTGGACGAGTGCAGAAATTTGTATTATTTTATAGATATAAGCTATAAGAAGGTCATAAACCTTTATTTGGCCCTTAAAAAACGAGTGAAGAAATATTATTTAAATTCTTAAGTCCACAAATGCATTTCTAAACAAAATCTGAAAACCGAAATCTTTTGGGTACCCATCCTCGAAACTTGTTGTATCCCTCCTTTTTTGAAACCGACTTGTCATCGCCCCCAAATCCCGCACACTGTCATGATCAAGCTTATTTAATAGTTTTTGCAAATATGAGCGATTTAGAGCAATAACTGGAACAAAGTGAAGCATCAGCCGAGAGTTATGAGGACAAGGCAGCGACATCCCGCCCATCGACCGCTGTTTGCCAACATGTGTTGCCGCTTAAGTCGTTTGAATTTGCTTAACGAGCCACAAACTTTGCGACAAACAGAGGACCAAAAGCGCCAAGGACCCCAGGACTAGGAGCAGGAAAAGGACCAGGACCAAGACCAGAAATAGGAGCTGGATCGGGACAAGGACCGAAACAGGGGAAAACCGGGGGACGTGCACGTGCCAACCTTAATATTGTTGAGTTATTGGCGGCCAAAAACCAAACGCCGACAGTCAAGAGTTGGCCAGAACGGAACTCAAGCTCAAGCCCAATACCAAACCCAAACCCAAAACCAAACACCAAGCCAAAGCCGAAAAGTTCCCTTCCGCCCTGCTGGAAACTTTAGAATGGCCTGGAAAACTTTTGCCCCGGTGCTTGGGTGGCGTTTTCCTCGCCGCCCACTTGTGTAGTCCCCAGTTTTCCTCAGTTTCCCACTTTCTCAGTCGGCGTCTGCCAATCAGGCAAAGTGCCCAAAGGGCTGTGAAAACTCTTTCGCTGGAAAAGTCGCGTCGCGCATTTCCGCACACATGTTGCAGGCCATTTTTGTGATTATCATTTACCGTTCCAGCAAGGATACCGTTGCCCTCTAACCCCTTTTCGCCACCAACCCATTTCTTTGGCCCAAAACGACCATCGATCGATGGCGAAACGGAAGTCAACGGTTGCTCTGAATTTATGTGCCGGCAAGGCTGTTGTATTACGGCAACTGCCTCGCGGGATTTTCCCGGTCTACATATATTAAAGATGTTTTGGCCAAGAAACTCAGAAACTTTTTCGATGCTAATAAATTGTAGCTAAAAGCAGGAACCGTAATTTAAGATCGCAATTTGCACGTTATAATTTTATTACGTACAAAAAAATGGCGTACCTTTGCATAAATTATACCCAATTATTGTTATAAGTATGGCAAAAAATATTTAATGAATTTTTAAAATCTTAATTCTTACCCAACTTTAAAAATGTCATAATTTGCTTATTACAAATTTTTATATTTTAATAAAAATTATTGCCAAATATTTAAATTTTGACAAACTTGTAAAAAAATTTTTTTTTATGTGTTTTAAACCAAGCAACCGATTATAAAATTTGAGTTTCAATCAAAAACAAATTGGTTATTTTTGACAAGTAGGCTTTGATTTCCATTTTTAACAAACTAGTTGCATAATTAAAACACATAGTAGGCTATGAGAATTCTAGAAACTGTTGTCATACGAAAAAGGGAAACTTTGCTCATTCAGTGTGATTACTTTAACCAGTGAACATCGGTAAATAAAAAAGAAAAAAAAAACAAAACGAACTCGAATAAAACTATAACAAGAAAAAATATAATAAAATTAGTTAATGTCAATGAAACTCTAGTGAAATGCCTTATAAAAGAAGTTCTCGTAGTGGCACAAAGACAGATGATGATTATGATGAGATGCAGGTGCCCAACAAAAGAAATAGCCGAGGTTCCGGGTCCTCATCAAAGCCTCCAACCAAATCCTTGAAAAGCGATAAATCGTGTCAAAACGGCAGCCAGAAAAATAAAGGCAAACAATTGACAGGAAACGCAGGGAATTTTGATCCGAAGCCAGAAGGAACCCCGCAGCCTTTGGATAATTATGCCAGGCCACATTCGACTGCAAGGTCAACCTCATCGAAGGTCTCAAGCCTAAGACGTTCCGGATCAGCAAGATACTTGGATAATAATGAAGAAAATTCGGTTAGGGGAAGTGCGACGGCTACCGGTAACCCAGAAACCTTTATTTTTTCCAGGCCAGCTGCACCGGAACCCTCGAATAATTATGACGGGTCCAACTCATCGAGACGTTCCAGTTTGAGACGTATCTGTTCAGCAAGAAACTTGGATAATTATAAAGAAAATTCGATTGGGAAACGTACGACGGCTACCAAACCAGCTTCGCCAGCAAGGTCTTTGAGACGTTCAACATTAATTCGTGCCTGTTCGGCAAGGAACTTAGATAATAATAAAGAAAATTCGGTTATGGGATGTACCACGGCTTCCGGTGCCCCAGAGCCCTCGTGTAATTATGCCAGGCAGGCTTCACCTGCTAAGTCCACCTCATCGAGGCGTTCAAGCACTAGACATTCCGGATCATCAAGAAACTTGAATAAAATTGAAGAAAATTTTGTAAGGGGACATACCGGTACAACAGAACCCACGGAGAACTCTGCCAGGCCAGTTTCACCTGCAAAGTCCACCTCATCGAGGCGTTCAAGGACAAAACGTTCCGGATCATCAAGAAACTTGGATAATACTAAAGAAAATTCAGTTGGGAGTCGTACCGGTGCATCAGAACCCACAAAGAATTATGCCAAGCCACATTCACCTGAAAAGTTTACCTCATCAAGGCGTAAAAGCTCAAGACGTAGGGGCTCAGCAAGAAACTTGGATAATGCTAAAGAAAATTCAGTAAGGGGACATACCGTCACCCAAGAGCCCACGGAGAATTATGCCAGGCCACCTTCACCTGCAAAGTTCACCTCACCGAGACTTTCAAATTATGTTGAAGATATTTCGGTTAGGAGACGTAGCGTCACCCCAGAACCCAAGGAGATTTTTTCCAGGACACCTTCACCTGAAAAGTCTACCTCACCGAGACCTACAAGTTATATTGAAGAAACTTCGGTTAGGGGACGTACCGCCACCACAGAACCTACGAATTTTGCCAGGACACCTTCACCACTTTCACCTGCACAGTCCACCTCATCGGGGCGTTCAAGCACTAGACGTTCCGGTTCAGCAAGAAACTTGGATAGTAATGCAGAAAATTCGGTAAGGGTACGTACCGCCACCACAGAACCTACGAATTTTGCCAGGACACCTTCACCACTTTCACCTGCACAGTCCACCTCATCGGGGCGTTCAAGCACTAGACGTTCCGGTTCAGCAAGAAACTTGAAAAAAATTGAAGAAAATTCGGTAAGGGGACGTACCGTCACCCGAGAACCCACGGAGAGTTATGACAGATCGGGAGGTTCAAGTTATGATAAAGAAAATCGGTTTAGGGGACGTCTCACAGGCACTGGTACCTGGAATTCAAACAAATCGAATAACTCTGCAAAGTCTGAAGGGGTTAAGAGCACCAAGAAAGGTGGAAAGGTCACTAGATCGCTTTTAACCCATGAAGAATTCATCTCCCCAAAGAGAGCTAAGCCCAACGACAAGAAATTGGAAGACGAAAGTGGTCCCTTCATAGTGGTTGCACAGCAGATAGCAGGATCGAGTAATAATCCACAAAATAAAATTCCAAAGCAGGAAAAAAATATGCCCTTCATTGAAATGAAAAGTGCGAGCCCAAAAAGAATCGAAGACATGGTTAAAGACTGTCAGGAGTTGGAAAGTACGCTAATGTGGGTCAAAAAGTCAAGTCAAGATGGAGACGGCGCAGCCTTGAATTATCATCCAGCGGAGCACAACAACTCGGGCTTCAATTCTCATATCAAATCCCAACTATTTTCTGTGAGTAATTACACCGATACAACTATGAATCATCAACCAGTGAAGCATGTTAGCTTTGGCCTTAATTCTAATAGCAAATTAGCGCCCCTTTCTAAAAGTAATTACACCGATGCAGATATGAGTGAAATGGTGGATAAGCCTGAAACCAGCTTTTTAAGACAGGGGAAACTTAATCCATATGAAACCCTTTTTACCGATGCTAAATATGAACCTTCGGTTTCATCCGAAAATAACCTTCCAGAATTGCTGTCTGAAATGTCTGAAATGATCTTTGATGATATAACTTCAAACGAGATCGAAAATAATGAATCCCAACAAAATGATAATGACGATGACGATGAGCAAAACGATGATGCAAGACGAATTAATGCTGAGCTGGACTTAATTTTCGCAAGTGAGGCACCGCAATCTTTCCAAGAAGAATCGCCACCAGAGGAGAAAAATCTTGAGAAGAGTCCTGCGCCAGCTGATACCAAAGAAATGGAAGATGATGTGGATGCACGTCTTCAGGCAGAACTGGACTCCCTACCCATGGTGGAGATTGAGGATGAAGTTGAACCCCCAAAAACTGAGGCTGCTGTTAAGGAACCACAGAATACAGCTTATCCGACACAGTACCTGCAATTCAATCCTCCACTCCCTGTAGCACCCGTTAACCAAATGGTATACTATAAGCCAACGCAAGCTGCAAGTCCAGCCGTCTTTTCGATGGCCCACCCGGTGGGCACATCGCATCGCGCCTTGGCCCAAGTTCCGATAGTCACGCGATTGAAGGGCGCCCAGGGAGAGGATATATCCGTTAAGTATACCAGAGGACCCGATGGTCTAATCACAAATGTGCAAATGGATCCGCCCTCGATGGGTTTGGGTCAGTCGCGAGGAATGGGAAAGAGCTTTACAGCCTTTGAACTCCACCAGATATTGCAGAGTTCCCAGCCCTATTTGGCCCTGCCCATGACGAGTAATGGATGTCCGGGAGCTATGCTCAAGGACCCACTGATGACCAGGGATGTTCCAGCAGTGTTCCCACCCGAACAGGCTGTGGAAGATGAGGAGGTGGACTACGAGGAGATCGGAGTGGCGGATACCTTTGCTGCCTACTGGCCCAGCAAGTTGAAGGTTGGTCGTGCCCATCCTGATCCTGTGGTGGAAACGGCTACCTTGTCCTCAGTGGAACTGCCTGATATTACTTACCAACTGGAATTGCCCTCGAAGACCACCGAGTGCCTGAGTGCCCTGCAACTGGAGGCAGTGGTCTATGCCTGCCAGGCCCACGAGCAAATCCTGCCCAGCGGCGAGAGGGCGGGCTTCCTCCTGGGCGATGGAGCCGGAGTGGGCAAGGGGCGCACCATTGCGGGCATCATCTATGACAACTACCTAAAAGGCAGGCGACGTGCCCTCTGGATATCCGTGTCCAACGACCTAAAGTTCGATGCGGAAAGGGATCTCTCAGATATAGGAGCCCACGAGAAGGTTCGAGTGGTGCCTATTAGCAAGTTCAAGTACAGTCGTATTGACTCGGAGGAAAACGAGAACTTCCGCAGGGGAGTTATATTCTGTACGTATACAGCACTCATTGGAGAATCCCTGACTGCCAACTCAAAGTACAAGACTCGACTACGCCAGTTGGTCAACTGGCTGGGCAAAAAGTTCGATGGAGTGATTGTATTTGATGAGTGCCACAAGGCCAAGAATCTTAGTTTAATGAACGTGGGTAAGTCCACCAAGACAGGAACCACAGTTTTGGATCTGCAGAAGCTGCTGCCAAAAGCCCGAGTAGTCTATGCCTCGGCCACGGGAGCCAGTGAGCCCAGAAACATGGCCTATATGGTGAGATTAGGTCTCTGGGGCCCAGGGACAGCCTACCCTGAATTCTACGAGTTTGTGAATGCGGTGGAGAAGCGGGGCATTGGAGCCATGGAAATAGTGGCTATGGATATGAAGCTAAGGGGCACCTACATAGCTCGTCAGCTGAGCTTCAAGGACGTCAGCTTTCGCATCGAGGAGGTGACCATGCCCAAGTGTTTCCGCAAAAGCTACAACTTGGCGGCGGAACTCTGGGCCGAGATCAACAAGAAGTTCCAGAGGGCCTGCCGTCTGATGTGCATTGAGAACCGGGTTCAGAAGATAATCACCTGCCAATTCTGGTGCGCTCATCAGCGTTTCTTCAAGAACCTGTGCATCGCCTCCAAGGTGGACCATGTGGTCAAGATGACGCGCCAAGCAACGCGAATGGGCAAGGCGGTGGTCATCGGGCTCCAATCCACTGGGGAATCACGCACCCTGGAGCATCTGGAGCGTCATCAAGGCAAGCTCAGTACCTTTGTGTCCACCTCCAAGATGATCATCCAATCGTTTGTGGAGAAGCATTTCCCGGCGCCCAAGCGCGACTCTTTTCATCATCTTCTCAACACGGGAGAGTTCGAACCGGAGGCCAGATCCCGACCACCAAGAGCCAAAAAGGCCAAGATGAATCCCGACTGGTTCGACGATGATATGGATGCCGAAGCAGGTGAAAGTGATATCGAGATGTACGAGAGCAGCTGGACGCCAGAGGATGAGCGTACCAAATCGGGACGAAAACGTCGAGGACGTCCACCCAAGGCGGATAAGGGTAAGTATATTTTGGTATATATAAACCGTACGCTATAACGCCCATTAAAACGAATTAAAAGAAAAATTTTAGATGCATTTGTTTCGTATGTAATTTTCACCCCTATGAGCGTTATTGCATGCACCCACGTTTATATTAAAGAACTAAAAATCCTTCGAATCCCCCTTAACAGTGGAGAAGATTACCATGCAGGAGCGCATTCTGCAGCACCTTTGCAATAACATGAAGGCCCAGGATAACGATGGCGACCCCACCTACACTTTCGATACTAGCAAACCCCAGAAGGCCAACATCACCGAAAGAGATGTGGAACGTTGTATCAATGCACGGGAACTGTTACTGGAGAAGATCGAGATTCTAGGCAAGAAGTTACCACCCAACACCTTGGACAAACTAATCTCGGACCTTGGAGGCACCAATCTGGTGGCCGAGATGACAGGTCGTCGTGGAAGAGTAGTGCGAACGGAGTACGATGGCTATAAGTATGAGCCGCGTTGCGAGAACGACTCCTCGATGGATTTGGTGAACTATCGGGAGAAGCAGCGCTTTATGGAGGGCAGAAAGCACGTGGCCATCATCTCGGAGGCGGCCTCCAGTGGAATTTCCCTGCAGAGTGACAAGAGGGTCTCCAACCAGAGGCGTCGTCTGCACATCACTCTGGAACTCCCTTGGAGTGCGGACAGAGCCATCCAGCAATTCGGACGCACTCATCGTTCCAACCAGGTCAATTCACCGGAATACGTGTTCGTGATCACGGATCTGGCTGGTGAGCGGCGTTTCGCCTCCACGGTGGCCAAAAGGCTGGAGAGTCTGGGGGCCCTGACCCAAGGAGATCGTCGTGCCACCGATGCCCGGGATCTATCCCAGTTCAACATCGACAACAGCATCGGTCGCAGTGCCCTGGAGAGTGTGATGCAACAGCTGACCAGGGAAAAGCCAATGGATCCATCTGAAGTACCCCAATCCTACAAGGGCGACTTCCTCTACGATTGCAGTGTGTCCATGGCTGGCGTGGGAATGCTCAATGTTCGTGAGGAGAACAAAGTGAAGGTGTTCAGCGTGGAGAAGGATAGTAATAACATATCCAAGTTCCTTAATCGCATCCTAGGCTGTCGCGTGGAAATCCAAAACGCCCTCTTCAAATTCTTTTTGGACAAGATGTACTCACTGATCATGCAAATGAAGCGCACAGGACGCTTCGATCTGGGCATCCTCGATTTGGATGCCCATGGGGCCAGTGTAAAATCTATCAAGCGGGTGAGATTTATTAGGAAACATGCCACCGGAACTGCGGCCACTGAACTGCATACTGTGACTGTGGAACGGGGCATGTCCTTTGAAACAGCCTTGGCCAAGTAAGTATGATTTCAAATCTCACAAAATTATACACTCGGGTCAATTAAATCTCATTCAAACCTTATTTTATCTTTTATGCCTTATCTCGAGAATAATTTTGTCCTGATATTAAGAATTCTTCTTGAATATCTCAATATTGTATTCTCAAACTTGAGATTCAGTGTTTTGGGTTTTATAGAGTACACTAGATTCCAAAAACAAAATCGGGACTATTTCCATCTCCTTTTCATTTGGAATAATAAATTCGAGACAAGTTGTGTCATGATTTCAAGAACGTATCTTCTCTAAGTCGATTTGGCAAAACTCGATCAATTGATCTGTGTATATTACCCTTCACAAATTTTTCCAAATGTATAGTTATTTATCCTACTAATTTATAAAACCCCTTAGATACCGAAAGGAGGGCCAACACGAGCACGATGGCTTCTATGTTCTACAGCATCTGCGCCACAACAAGAACTCCTCAATTTTGTGCCTGCAGGCGCAGTCCAATTCGTCGGATGCAACATCCGGAAAGATAAATCTACAAATCTATCGACCGAATACGGGTCCCCAAGTCCGTTTGGAGGCGCTCAGCTCGATTTCAGCGCGATATGTCAAGGTAGATCCGGAAAAGGCCCAAGTGTTCTGGCTACAGCAGTACGATTTTTGCTTGAACAAGTGCTCCCATGTTTACTGGAGTCGGATCTGCCCGTATCCGGCGAGCTGCGAAGTGGGACTTCGAGTGCGCACCTACCACGTGCTTTCCGGTCTAATGCTGCCCATTTGGGACCGGATCGAGCTGATAATCGAAAAGAACAATCAAAAGATACAGATCATACGAGTGAAGACCGATGTGAACACGAAGATTGTGGGCACGGTGGTGCCGCATGCCGTCTACGATACCCTAGTGGCCGATTTGTCCTCGGACTCCACCGTGGAGATGAAGAACCATTAAAAATGACACCGCCCCCTATAATGTATACGATATAACGCACAATCGCCGCAGCAGCAGCAGCAGAGAACGCTTCTATTGCCACTTTAAAAATATCAACTCAAATTGTGGCATTCAAGGCGATACATGTGGCGTAAGCTTTCGCTTTTTCCAAATGCCAGGCACGCTCCACCAGCTCCACCATCGAGGAGGAGATCCCCCCATCCAGGAGGAGCAGCCCGCCGAGGTTCCCGGCCATAAACAATGGCCACAAAAGCACATACGGCAAGACACTTACAGCTCGTCTGCGTGCGTATGTGATTCATATGTATTGTCTGCAGTGCTGCGGGGTCTGCCACACAAACACTGAAAAAAATAAATACACACTAACCAAAAATGGAATTTTTTCAATATAAGATATGGGAGGTAACTGAGATAAGGTCATATATCAAATAAAATGCTTAGGCTTGAAAATATGATTAACGGAGCTCAATCAATATCAATATCAATTTGTTGTTTAGCGAGGTCTAGAATTAAGGGCACTGTAAGGAAAAATTAATAACGGAGTCTCGTTTGATCAAATGTATTTTTTAAAATTTAAAAATATATGGATTTATCGAAGCACCTTTCTAAATTTAAACATTTTTTTGTTCTTTAGCTGTTTTCTAATTTACAAGTAGGTACTTGTTCTCACAGTGCCATTTCTTTTCCAGTTCCGCACTCTTGGGGGAATCTGAACAGCGTCTGTGATTGCATTGCATGTTTTGTCTTGTTTCCATTGCTAGGAGACCAACTAAGGCTACCCCTCTCGGTTACATTATAAATTTTAAAACGAGTCAGTCGCTTACACTCTGGCACACATGCGAGATATAAACAAAATTATACAATGGCAGTTTCGGAGGGGATTTCGGGTATGAGATGGGCGACCCATGGCATAAAGCATGACCAAATGGCCTTGGCAAATGTCGTGCCTAAGGATCCAAAACGCAGTTGGCATAATAACTCACGCGTGATGCAGATATCGTATTCCAACAGCACTCGCAACAAAAACAAAGACATAAAGATGCCGAGTCATATAAATTCAGTCTGTACCTAAATTAGAACAAACTGGAATTTATCTGTTCATATGAAGTAGGAGATAGGGATAACTTAAAAGAAGTTAAGGCTGACATACTTTAAAAATTCTAATTCGGAAATTCTTTAAAATGGTGAGAAGAGGATTAACTTGTCTGGAGATCTTCACTAAATATATATATAGCTTAGTTCTTAAATATAATTTAGATGGTTTTGAGTTGCCTCAAAATTATGAAATATTATTTCAATATTTATAAGCAATGTATATTTAAGAAACTTAAAACATGTCCTTTGTTGCCTTAGATAATTGGCATTCATTTTGTGAGCTCTTTGAAGTCTAGAACTTGTGGAAAAATTAAAAGGACTATTCGTGAGATTTTCCCTAAAAAACAGTGCCTACCGCAACATAAGAATTTTCCCCGAAAACACAAACATTTGGGCGCACACCGATGTGTGTTGGGCTACGTGCCGATCATAAAGTTTATTTGCGCCTACGTGGCAACAAAAAACAACACCGTACGAAGCACCGTCAATTGCTTTAACGTGAGCAAAAACAAACAAATAAAAAACAATATTCTAAAACATAAAATATGAGCGCGGGAAGTATGTCTGGGGCATAAAAAATATAATCATATTAAGCCCATATACACACATCTATACGCGAGTTTTGTTAGGCGTAACCAAAATATTTTCCAACGCAGATTGAAGTAAGGAAAATATTCATATTTTAAGAAATGAAAAGCAAAGAAATGCTATTACGTGATGCCCTTGGAAACGGGAAAAGAAAATGGTAGAGGAGGGGATGGAAAATTTTGGCCACGATAAACATGGCGTATACGTAACGCAGTTGAATTCTACTCGATTGCCCCCTTCCAACCCCTTTTGTTTTCAACTTTACGATGTCCGCAGTACTTTCCTGATGGTTATGTCGGTATTATGGAATACGAATTGAACTGGCTTAAAGCGGGATTTACAATTATTGTGAGATTTTTCATGAAACTTGCAGGTGAAAGACCAATTCGAAACCCCTCTTTAGGGCTACTTTCTGAAAGTTATTTTTTATTTATTTTTATTGAAACGGGGCCGCAGCTAAGGTCCTTCATTTAATTTAAGCGACTGCCATACATTTTGTTAGCCCACATATTTCATTTGTGCCTGGGAACCCTCCACACAGTGTTTTGGCCCTTTGGCAAATTATTCACAATTTGTCATTTGTCTTTGATTTATTTGCATTTTAAAGGCTTTCAACGGCAGCGATGGCGATGGCGACATCGCCGCCGTAATAAATTTTAGCCTGGTCTTGTTCGGAGCCCGGGACTGTCTACCTTTTGGTAGCTGTCGGCAAATGCCTGGCCCTCCCTTCGCTCCTTCTGGTTCCTCCTGCGGGAAGGACCTTCTCCCCATTGCCATTTCCATTTCACTCATACTTTAGACTTAAGCACAATTTGTAATACTTACAAACGACATTCAATTTCCACATGGTCTCCAAATACAGGCCATTCACATTTGGATTTTCCGCACGGCATGTTATCGATTTGCCATCGTCGTCTGTGGTCGGCACAAAGCTCAGCTCGGAGCGTGTCGAGTTCTTTGATATGTCGTCCTGCAAGAAATAAAACGTTAAGGAAAAAGTGCACAAAAAATATAAGAAAATGTTTCTGCATTAATTAAGTTTTCCCAAACCGAACCGAGAGCCGCCCACCAGTTTTCCCGAGACTCTTGCCGAGACCTTGCCTCCAGGCAAAGTTTCCTTTTCTTTGTGTTTTCCCCTCTTTTTTTTTTTGGTTGCAAATTTGTCGAAATATTTTATGTTTGCAATTTAAAATTTATTGGTATGTTTGTTTGGGCTTTATGTGTGCCACGTGTGGGTTGCTCTGTGTGTGTGCTCTTGGGGTATTATAAATTTAATGGCAGACAGGGACACCAACAAAAGGCGTCACACAATTAGTCGAGCCATATAGTTGGTATGGCCATAAAGTGTTTTAGCCCGATTCCCCGCCATGTGTCTCCCTTTGTTAGCAGTTTACACATTGCTCAAATCGCTTCAAGGCAAGGCTTTTGAGAGAAATGTGATTTGGCGATGGGGTTTATTAGGGAAGGGGGGTGTTAAAGTGATGGCAGTTAGCGGGAATATAAATCCTTGTCTTTAGGGGGCGAATTATGATCGATTGGGTTTTATTTGAAACGGTTTTGGGTCATTTCGGAAGGCTGAAGGTAAGAGGATAAAGAGTGACCACTCAGGCGAAGGATAAAATTAAAGTTATAACATTAATAATAAATAATAATAATAATAATGAATGAACTCATTGCAGTTCTACGTTTAAAACGTATTTTGGCGTACTTTTAGACATCTGAATTTGTATTTAAAAGTGATTTTAACAATCCTAATGATTTGTGTAGCACTCCATCGAAATAAATTATAAATAAGTCAACACAATTTTAAATAATATAATATAAATAATATAATATAATGTAAACTTAACTTCCCTTGCAGGATTTTATTTTAAATAGTCAGTGCCGAGAATCTTCATTATTCAACGTTGTAGGCATAGGCCAATTCAATTCGTAGACTAAACTTCTCAATTAGACCGTCTGCGGAGCTTTGATTAATGCCATTGCCTTCCATGGCTAAAACACTCCGCCTGAGCCCACGCCCACCCACAACCTGGCCAAAAAGGGGGGGCAGACACAGACATATATTAGAAACCCCAAAGTAGGGTACGAAAAGGCATGTAAAACATGTGGGATGGCAAGACCGAGGACATCAGACAAGGCTGGGGGCAGCGGCAGAAGGACCTATGCCGCATTACGGCAACTTTATGCTACATGAAAACTACTGAAAAACATTTCCGGTCTTTAAAAAACATTGGTTGGTGCCGAGACCCAGGAGCTGGCCAAAACGGCAAAGCAATCAGCGTGTATGCATATAAGCGGATAGACATGGACATAAACAACGGGCCAACAGACCAAAGAGGCCCGGGTCGGGATATAGCTAACCAGGACTCCACTGGAGGTCCCGACACACAAAAATGAATTGCAACAAAATTGCGCCAAAACTCCCATAAATTTGTCCAAAGTTGAAGAGAGAAAAAAGTGAAAAAAAAGAAAGCAACAAACAGAAAAACTAGGTTATAGTACCTATGTTTCGGGATACCCTTACTTAAATAAAACCTAGCGTTTAAATCTAATTATGATTAAAATTCCATAAAATAAACGAATATGCTTTATCAAATATTTTTTAAAAAATGTTTTGAAAAAAACAAATATTTTAAATATAACTCTAGGATTAACTCAAAAAAGTAGGGTGATTACTTATATGAAATAATACACACTAAAGCTCTTAAAAAACCTGAATAATAGCTAAAAAAGCAAATTAATAAAAATAAATTATATCAAATTCATTATCAAAACTTATGTAGGTCCTTGAAGAAATCTTAAATAAACAAAAACTAATTCTTAAAGGTAGGGTGATAACTAAATCAGGCTTTTTCCAGACTTTGCAGACTGCCGTTGAAAGGGTAAAAAAACGGAAAAGTGGGTGGGCCAAAGCGAAATGCAAAGCGGACTGGAATCGTTTGTGTATTGTGGAGTTTATATCACATTATCTGTGTTTATTCTAACCAAGTTGTGGGATTGGCCGGGGGCACTGGACTAGGACCCAGCTGCGAGTGTGAACCACGCCCAGGGACAACAAGTGGGTGGATTTCTGGTACTCGTCCTGGTTCTGGTTCTGGTTCTGTCTGTCTCTGCACTATATGTACGGATGTACCGGAGATGGGGAAGGTGGGTGGGTCAGGAGTTACGAGCTCCGTTTGTTTGGCATGACTGTGCAAACACAATAAGTTATCGAGCTGAACGTGAGTCAGTCAACAGGAGCAGCAGCATGGAGCCAGCCAAGCCAACTAGCTGCGTCAATTGCGGTCACTCCACTCCATGGAAGCCCTATGCCATACCCTATATACCATATATATACCCACCTTTGTGCGTCGTAATTGCCGTTTTCCCTTGTACCAGGTGATGATGGCGTTCGGCCGGGAGCCGGAGGACTCACAGGACACCTCGTAGCGACGATCGGCAATCATCGAGCTGGGCGGCTCCAGGATTCTCACCACCAGGGGCTTCACTGTAATTGGACAGGCAGAACATTCAATTCAATGCAATTGTAATTAAAACTGTTTACCATAATATTTCATGGTCTCATAATTGCAGTTCGTTTTGCACGGCAATCATTTCGGACCCCCCATTCAGGTTTATTTACTGGGGGCTGTGTGTTTATGTGTTTGTTGGCCAGTATCAACAACAATTTGTGTCTAT